CTTAGTGCGGGTATTACTGTCTCATGACAGCATCTAGTTTTTTGCTGTGTTTGTGAAATATTTTTTTACCTGTATATTACAATGTAAAATTTTGATCGTCCTTCGTGGCCCCGCCTCCTCCCAGGGGTCATGATTTAAATAAACTTGAATCTACAATACATGTACCTTAGGGAGTAGAGTATTGTAATAAGATCCTGGTTTGTTATGAGGTATCAGTAGAAAGTATCCCATCCGGACAAGAACTTAATTTTTTTTTCAATGAGTTGTTGAAATCCATGTGACGATGTTGTCAATCTCACAGATACTAAGATATGATGCTCAACCGCTCAACTATCACGTCACAGCTATGGCATTCTGTACTTGAATGGACAGATGCAAAGGGAAAAAAATCAAAGAAAATGTAATAGATAAGATTTAAAATAAAAAAAATGATTTATGCTTTGCATTCGTGAAACATAAAAAACATTGTATAATTCATCAAATAAGTTCAATATCCAGCTAAAAAACATTGAAACCTTCTTAAAAACGTTTCTAATGCTCAATAGCCTTTAAGGGGGGACCTATGTCAGAAAAGTCTTTGTGTGATATTTTCAAAACTTTGACATTTCTTTCATGGCCATTTGCTCTTAATCTTGAGGTATTAAAAATAATACCTTTATATGCTTATTTTTACACAGGAGCACGTGTAAAAACAGCGTGAAATGCTAAAAATAGATTATTTTCAGACATTATTTTTTACCCCAAATATACGCTAAAAAGAATCAAAAATGTCAAATCACATTCAAAATCAACAGGTATTTAAATTATATGACTTGTATCTTTAAAATGAAGGCAAAATAATTGTAATTGATCTCACACGAAATATCATAATGGAGCACAAAGTAAGTATTACCCTATTTTTCTTGTCGTATTTTTGACAATTCCGACATGCATAAAAGGTACTATCATAAAAAAATTTTGTTTGAAAATGTTGTAATGCATATTTTTTGAAAGAAATAAATTATGTCTTCGTTTTAATAAAGAAAACAGTATACCTTTATGATAAAATAAACGAGAAATATAAAGTTTTCTTCTATTTTCGTACTCTTGTGTCATAAATATTGACCTTTCTGCACTAAGACAAAGGTAAGTAAGCACTAGCAAACATCTAAATATAAAACTATTTTGCGGAAAACAAGGATTTTGCTTTGATTAGTTACAATTTACACTGATTTGATATTTTCTTTTTGATTCTAATCATTCTGCCACCCCACCCCCCTCCCCACCGTTCTTCCTCGTCAACAACCAACACCTACAAGAATTAACATAGGAATGACTTTATTCAATTAAATCTAAATGAACTCATCAATAAGGAAATATAGGTACAAGTACATTTCTTAATTTTTTTCTTAGTTTTATTTAGAAAATACAATTAATGGTAAACATAAAATTAAAAGATATTTCCCTGGTTTAAGCCACTTTCTTTGCTGAATTTTATCTTATCTTTTTGCACTCATATCAGCAAATTATCGAGGTATTTTTTCACAACTGAAATTTCTATGAATTATCAACCAAAGGAAGAGATTTCTAATATTTACAAAATCCATTAATCGAATAAAACTGTTATTAATGATGTATAAATTTTCTTTTTGTAAATTGTGTAGATTATTGATTATTAACAATGTTAAGCCTATATCATAGTTGCAAAAGTCAACAGGTAAAAGCAAACGTCGCTATTGTGACGTCACATAACGCTGCTTTGACGTAGAACGACATAGGTCCCCCCTTAATACAAGGCGTTGTTGCCTCATTCTCATTATGGCGTCACAAATACAGATAGCAGATGAAGAATCTGTTTTAGAAACATCTAGTTTATATTGCCCATTGCGAAGTCATCATATTTGGTGTGTTCGTGCCCTCGTCTTTGCAATCTTTTTTTTCGGCGCTGCATTCTTTACAATTCTTCATCGGAACTCTAACGCCGTTAACAGTTTAATATCCTATGCAACTTCGTTAACACCCCGGCCGGTAAATTGGCTACTTGCTATTATTTTTATTGATTTTCAAACTATTTAGTCACACTTAGAAAATGACTATAGCATAAAATGTATACGCGGGTTCTCCATCATTTCAAATTTAACTGTGGCGTAAGACGTACGCGAAGTGCTATTATTCGCGGTTATTTTGCGACCAAAGTCGCGAAGGAACCACGAAATAAATTTAAAAAAAAACACAACCCCTATGAATCAATAGTTCAATACACAAATGATATTTATTATTTGGCAGATTAATAGATAAATTTAATGATAAAAGCAATTGATCGATATGGTATAAACATAGTGTAAGACGAGATTAGGATATTGCCAAATTAAATGCATACTGTGAAAAAGATCTCTCTTTTCATGTAAGAGTTCAGCTAGGTCTTGAAGATAATTGCTTGTTGAAGAAAACAATGGGCTCTGCTTAGCATGATAAAAGTAAATTAAATGGTTTTCCATAAGAAGCTGAAAAAATGTTTATAATTTGAAATTCGTTTGGTTTATTAATTTACATATTAATCTTACTGACGATAAAAATCTTACCGTGACGCTAATATTTTAACCGTGGCGGAACTATGGCGCTGATTTTTTAACTGTGGCGCTCATGAATTTAACTTTGGCGGGGCCGCCACGTTAAACGACGCAAGGAGAACCCTGGTGTACGTTATTAATGAGAAATAAGTTGTTTTTCATTCTAATCTATAATTTATATTCAATGGATGATATTTTGAATAAAGTTTGATAGGATGAATTCATAAACACAAGCTGTGCTAAATATTGTCGAAATTACTGGTATAGTACAAATAGATATTTTCGGTTGGGTGAACACTCAAAATGAATTCGAATTATCATATTTATATTGGATTCGGAAACTTCATAAAAATCCATAGCGGGTTCCAGTAAATGTTCTTCCAAGGCTCTTTCTTTACTTCTCACTAAGATATTAACAGTAATGAAGGAGAAACTTCAAGAGAAGTGTGCAACAATATATTTGAGAAGTGGTGTAAATCCGATGTGGATAAAAAAATTCCAAGGAACTTTTCCAACATTTGAAATCACAAAACTTTACCAAAATCAACAACATAAAAACTTAACGACTTTTCAACTGATATTCAACTATTCCCCATAATAAATAAAAGTCCACACGATCTTACATTGTTGACAGCTTCTTTTTTAATGAAATTAGTAAATTTACTTACCTTGTCATTGGTCATTTGCAAAATTACTTTGTTAAAAGAAAATATGATTGTTAACACAAGTACTCTGATGTGATCATTAAAGAGATGCTCGAGTTTCTTATCGACAATATCTATGTGGTTTTGGAGACCCAGTCTTCCAAGTACCCATTGGAATTTCCATAGGTACCAATGGTGCAGCGTTATTAGCAGACCTATTTTTTTTATTCATATGAAGCAGAATTTGTTTAAAATCTTTTACGTGAAAAGAAGAAAGCACTTGCTGTGACCTTCAACTCGACATTTAGATATATCGACGACGAATTGTCCATAACAATGGTTATTTCCATTCTTACGTCGACACGTTATATCCCGGTGAGCTTGAGATAAAAGATACCGCACAGTCTGACACGTCTTATTAAAATTGGGATAATTTATTAGAAAAAGACATTAATGGTAATCTAACGGCAGAGCTTTATGATAATCGTAATGACTCTTACTTTTCAATCGTTAACTTCACTTAATTATGCAGCAATATACACTTATCACTTGCATGCGCAGTTTATATCTCTCAGTTGATTCGGTACGCCAGAGCAGGCTCTATGTATGAATAATTTCTAAAACGAGGTAAATCAATGAGGGACAAGCTTATGAAACAAGAATATCAGCAGAATGTCTCGTTTAAAGTCATCATTTCGTAAGTTCTAGGGTCGACACAATGACCTAGTCAGCAAATACAATCTATCATTAAGTAAAATGCTGACTGACTTTTTTCATACTAATTATAAGTCCATTATTTACACACTGAATTGACGACGAATTTTCCCTTTATTTCCCGATCAGGACAAGGAGCACACGGTGGATGTGACCGGTCGACAGGGGATGCTCACTCCTCAATTGCACCTGATCCAACTGATATTTTTAGAGGTCCCTGTTTTCCTTGCTCCAAATTTATGTGGTTTCAATAGACATTTGAGATTGAAGACTGTTCGTTATCTTCATATTAATTTTTTTTTGTGTCAGACTAGAAGTAAAATTAAATCTTGAACTTTGTTTTTATCTTTTTCACATTAAAAGCATAATGTTTCTGTTGTTTCCCTAATTTGTACCAAGTTCTATTGAAATCAAGATATAACCGTAGAATGGGTTGCGTTTAAAATCTACTTTTTTCATCGAAACTTTTGAAACTTTGTTGAATCTTTTGATGAAAAGCATTTTGAAAATGGTTTAAACCCTGCATTGTGTGGTATCAGCAATAAAAAAAAAACAAATTTATGCAGATTATTCATTAATTGTTTTTCTGTATCAATTATTTAAATTTTCTTTTTTCATATTCAGCAAAATAATTAATATGATAATAAAAGTGTTCGTGGCTTATTTTGGTTTAATACAGCTGTGCAACATATTTCCCCATTAGAATTCTGCTGATAATTATAAAAGTAAGACATTAACGCAATTCTTGAGCAACACACACTTCTAACAAGATGTTTCTGCGCCTATTTGTGGTGAGTTGTTTTTTTTTTTTTATATTATAATGTCTTTTTTAATTTGTTATAATATGTGAACTTTAAAAGAAACAATGTTCTAAAATTGTTAATAGACAGCAAAATATCAGAGGTATTTTTAAAAATCATAATGATAGATATTACTCAGTATTTTATTCATTCAAGTGTCCTTAAGACACATTAGCTTAGTAATGAAAAATACTACTATTTTATTATTTAATAAATGAGAAAAAAATGTACATGAAAAACGTTACCTAAACTATGATTATAATTGAGCAGCTTCACTTTTCATTCTTTTTCCAGGTTTTTCTGATGGTCTCTGTCATATTAGCGAAGAATTCATGGAGAAAGAAAGGTAACACTAGAAATCGAATATTTTTGAAATATTACTTACTAAAGGTCTCTTTTTACATCAATGAAATTTTTTTTGGACTTAGAAAAATACTATTGTAAAGAAATGAAGGTGAAAATATTGCACTGGTCTACATAGGGCACCTCTCATTAGCCGGGCTTATTGCTCAAAGAGCAGTTGCCGGCTTATGTCAGCCTGTTCAAGTCAGGAAGTCCACCCCATAGTCGCCAAATTAAAGTTACGTGTAAAAATATAGTATTTACACATAATACAATAATCAGATAATACAAACGCTAAATAAAGCAACTAAATTAAAACGAAGTTACATCTATACAAATAAACATCAGTAGCAATGCCTTTGAAATGTTCAGTCCTAAGTCAAACATTATAGTTCATTTGCATAAGGGTTTTTGATGTTCAATGTTATCGTAGTCTAGTTCTCTACAAAGACGAAGAAAAGAAGGAGAGATAACCGGACTGGCCTGTTTGTTTACATTCGGCTGTTCCAGGTTAATTCGATCCTGATAAATTCGGATTGTGGTTTTAGCTAGGACCCAAAACCTATTTGTCTTATAATTTATATTGATATTTTAAAATAATGTTTTCATAATTTTTTTTATTTTTTTTAAAATAAGATAATTATATGTCATTGAAGCCCTTACTTTCTTAGTATCATTATTATGTTTTAAATTGTTTGTGTTACATATTCTTCCAGTTTCTGAAATTCTTGTTATTTATCTGTTAATATAATATGAGTGTATGATTCATGTACAGAATTCTACTCTGTTAACAAGCCCGGTTCTGTACTCCTGAGTACTTTGATTTTGTTCGAAGGCAACGTAGTGTCGAATGAAATTATTGTTGTTTTTCAAATGGGGAAAATATGTGACACTTAAGAATTCATGATCATATATAATATTATTATTATAGATAAAAATGTAATGATACGAATACTCCAATTGTTATAGAGTCCTTAAACACTGCTTAAATCCACAAAAAGTCTTACTGATTTTTTTCCAATCCAGCATATATTTAAACTTTTCCAATCTAAGCGCTGCAGTTTTAAATGTAATTAGGTAACTATTAGACTTATAGCTTAATTTTTTTTGTTAAAAAGATAAATAATACAATAGTTGCCCGTGTACAATAAATTCAAATTATATAGAATGAGGCGGATTAAAACGTTTTAACGCAAGCCATTATGACGTAGCACTATAATTTATACGCTAGATTTAGACGTATGGCATTTAATTTTTAAATATTTATTGGGATAGGGTTGGATACGTGTTCAAAACCCAAATAATCAATTAATCCCGTAAGCATTTATGGTAAATTTGATCGCATTCCAACCCATGTTAATATCCAATAGTTTACCTAAAAATGAGATTTTTTAATTACATTTATGAGTGATTTATTTCAAATATTAGAGTTCTATAATTTAAACCCATGTAATTTTTTCTTTAAACCTCACCGATGTAAATTGAATATGTTGAACATGTCGTTTGCTTATTTCCTCATTTTGAAATTAAATTGAACGTTTATGACAAAACAATTAATTTGTGGTCATGTGAGGAACCTGTCTTTATATAGGGTTTAATATGAATTGCAACAAAGGTGTTATCTAAGGGAAAACATTTGTAAGTCCAAATATTCAGAGGTAAACTTGAAGATCAAAAGTCAGTTTACGTGGAAGAGTTTGTATATCTAATGATTAAACCTATTATTTATCAACCATTTTTAAATATATCCGAGATCTATAAGCATTGTGACGTCATTATTAACATAATTGTAATATACAACAGGTAAAGGACGTGCTTTTTGCATGCGGAATTCGAGAATCTGTTACAAAGGAAAGCTGTGTATAAAACCGGACTCTTCACGCTATTGTAGATGTCCACCTCGTTGGACAGGAACAGATTGTCGTCAAAAGTTAGGTAAGGGTTGTTTATTCTACATCTTTTATTTTCATTGTACATCTGTACAAATTGAGGCGGATTAAAAACGTTTTTGCGGAAGTCATTGTGACGTAGGAATACATTTCATATGCTAGAGCAGACGTGTTATATTTAATTTTACAACACATTTTAAGATTTAATACGGGTTGGTTACGTGTTCAAAACCCAATTAATCACACAGGCATTTATTGTACATTGGAACACAAAATAACCCATGTTTTTTTTTCCAAATAGTTTTTTTTTTAAATGAAACCTTTTTAAAATTTACATTAATAATTCATTTAATAAAAATACTAGCCAACTTTTGTTTTAAGCCCATGAAATGGTTTATTTTTTTCAAATCTCACCCATGTAAATTGAATAGGTTGAACAGGTCGTCTACTTATTTTATTTTGAAATTATATTGATCGTTTATGACAAAACAATGAATTTGCTGTCATGTGAGGAACTTGTCTTTATACAGGCTTAATTATGCATTGCACAAATGGTGTCATTTGCAAGAGCAAATATTCAGAGGTAAACTTGAAGATCAAAAGTCAGTTTACATGGAAGAGATATATGTAATGATTAAACCTATTATTTACTCACTTTTTAATCTGTACGACATCTATAAGCATTGTGTCGTCATCATTTACATTTTTGTAATATTCAACAGGTAAAGGACGTGATTTTTGCTTGCGGAATCGGAGAATCTGTTACAAAGGAAAGCTGTGTATCAAACCGGACTCTTCACGTTATTGTAGATGTCCGCCTCGTTGGACAGGAACAGATTGTCGTCAGAAATTAGGTGAAGATTGTTCAGTCGACATTATTTAATATCATACTTTCATGTAAATTTGTTGAATCTGATTTGTCGATAAACATTTGTTATAAGATACTATTGCCCGCTGAACAATGAAGCCACGCCCTCAAGCGTAGCAACAGTAAACACTGCATGACGACCGGTGTTATTAAAAAAAAATTGACTGCGCAGTGACGACCGGTGTTATTAAAAAAACATTGACTGCGCAGACGTGATGCACTTGCATTGGTTCACAGTAATATGTATTTGTACATTGTATAAAACATTCACAATAATATAATAAATACTGCATGTAGTTGAGTGTAACATTGAAAATTTTCATCCCTCAAAAACCACTTTGCCTCTTTTGACAATGGCTTTCTTGGGGTAAAAATTTTCAATAATACACTCAACTACAGGTCGCCCACGTGGCGCAGTGGTTAGATCGTCTGCTCGAGAGTTTGGAGTAAAGAGTTGACCCTTACGTTGCGGGTTCGAATCCCACTGTAGGACGTGCAGACCTGTCCTTCATAGGAGACCGTAAAAACCGAGGTCCCCTGTCGCAGCAGGTGCTGGCACTATCTACAGTTAGAATGTGCTTAAATATATTAACAAAGTATAACGTAGAAATTGAGAAAATGTGTATTAATGGAAAATATCAGATGCATCAAAAAAATTTTGAATTCAAAGATTCTAATGGAAGAGTTATTTTTCTTTATTTTCCACTTGCTGAAATACCCTGGGTGCTATTTCAGATAATGTAAGCTTTTTATTAGCCTTTTGTGCAATGATAGTTATGGAAACAATGCATGAACAATCGATTTCCAAGATGTGTCTCCTTCAGAGAAATTGCAGTCGGACTTCTCAAAGTTTTGGGGTATATGTGGCCAGACAATTACTTCTTGAATGAAATAAGAAGGAATACCAGTTCAGGTTAACAGAATAATTGATTGGTAATAATTAAGAACAATGTGAAGTAATCATACTTATCCATGCCTCACCGCACACAAAGTGGTGTACTTTTTCGCAAACAATGAAAATACATGCATTTGCTTAAAAGTGTTCCCCAAAGAGTTTTTCTTTAAACACAAATCTCATAAAAGGAATTTAAATTTTGACTACAGTATGTTCTTCGGCAAAAGTCTTTAATAACATCTCAAACTCTAAACACCGTACAGCCAACTGCAAGTAGGGAAAAATACTTAACTGGAATGTAATTCATAAATACGTTTTCAAGCTTCCTTAGATATAAAAGTACTGAGATTTGTGAAACATATTTCAAATGAATGAAGACAAGAATATAAAACAACATTGTGATTGAGAGAAAAAGTAATTCTTTTTGGGGGGCATCTAGCAAACAACTCATTATAAGAAATAATAACATGTATATTGATCTTTTCCACCCATTTCAACTTTTAAAAATTCATTTGTAATAGGTATAATTTTATGTGGGAAGGGGTTTGTATAAACCTAATCAGTGCATAAATACTGATTAATTCACTCTTCCTAAGATGGTTTAGGTTCACAAATTGGTGTCGGGCATAAGTTCTGAAAACTTAGTAGTACACCCTTTTGCTACATGTGAATTATTTCAAACATATTTACACATATGGACCAAAGTTTAAAATGAATAAGCACAGAAATTATTTTAATTCAATTAAATCATATTATTTCCTTTTGTCTATTTATTTATGAATTCTTTTGAACTTTTTTTTTGTTTTAAGGTGTAAATGTTTTTAAAAAGTAGATATTTAAATGCATTATATCATATTTTTCCCTTAAACATATTTGCTATAATTTCTGAAATTCTTAAATCTGTTTTTTTTCTCTGACTTTAAGTGTGAAAAATACAGGTAAATAAAAGGTTAAATGTAATTATCTTAATTGCTATAAAAAGCAAATGAACTATCAAACCATGTGTGGTTATTTGCAAGCGGGAATAGGTAGAACTGATTTTTTTTTGAAGTAGGAATAGGTTGAAGACGGCTGTATTTTTATCTAAAAATGATATTTCAAGTACAGTATAACAAAGCTATAAGTAATGTGTCATGTTCATGTTTAAGACAATGACAATGCATTGCTAACTTCAATCTGTAGAACAATCATAAAATCTATTATCTTTGACCATTCCTTTTCAGAAAAGGAATCTGCATGTCAGTCTATGCCGTGTAAGAACGGAGGAACGTGTACCGATACAGACACGTCGTACATGTGCACGTGTAACACAGGATGGACAGGACAGAACTGTACAGGTAGCAATTATTGGCATTTTTATTAAGACTTGGTCCTGTTTGAGTTTTTGAAGAGTTTAAAATAACAAGATACCATTATTATACCAGTGTACAGGAATGCACATCAATCTATTTACATCTCTTTACTCAAGGAAAATTGTTTTGGTAGGAATAGTCACGTATCGATCATGTCCCTCTGTAAAATGAGGTTAAATATTTGCTTCTCACACAAACACAAAAAGACAATGTATCTTATGTAAAAACGAAAGGACTAATAACACTTATATTCAATTATACAATACATGTATTATATTGTATATATAATATTATGATATTATGAAGATTCAATGACTCCTATCTTGAACTTTTTATATCGAGTACACGTATGCTCATCTACTTAATAACTATATACAATCCTTATAAAATACTAGTATTTTAAAAAAAATAATTTAGCATCATAATATCGTAATTTGAGGTAAATATACATGTACCTTCACTTTAAGTCTACTTTGAAGATAAAAAAAATCAACAGTTCCAGATAAAAAGTTTTGATTTAGGTTCAAATATTCATACTGGTAAATCTTATTTCATGCACCAGTTGGTAAATATAGAACTAGAGTAGTCTGTGGTCTATCACTTCACCTTACATATCATGTTCGTGCCCGCTGGTAAGTTATTCCCGATATAGCAATGAAAAGCTTAAGAAGTGAGTTTTCATCTAGATCTGCATAATTATGATGTATAATGTTACACGTACATGTATTTAGAAAGTGTCTTTTGTTATCTTTTTTCTCTTCGTCTTTGTTTTAATCAAGATTTTTTTATTTTAATATTCTCTAATAATTCCTCCATTTGGAGATTATTTTCTAAGGGAAAATTACTTTTGTAGAATTTGAGGGTGATTTCAAACACGAATACGTGTTAATGATTATGAGGAACCACTACTATGCATCCAATCAATCGTCACTAATTTACATGACAACAAATACTCCAGTAACCGTAGAAATCTCCACATCAAACAATCTGAATTCTTCCCTTAAGTCCGCCATTGACCAAACCTTCTTCTTTACCTCCCAACTTAAAATTACACTACCTCCTGAAATGGAAATGGCCTTCTTAGAGAGAGAGCCAAAAGCCGTGAAAATTCGCTCAACAGAGGCTATAACCCTTGTTCTCTTTGACAACAACTATTCACAATCCAATGACGGTTCTCTGATTTCCCCAGTCGAAAAACTCGGCACTCGGTATTTGGTAGTGTCTTCTGATCCTCGTGATGAAAAGCATCCTATTTACAACAGTGGATTCGCTATTGCTGCGTTGGAGGACGACACATTAGTTAAGGTAGACCTAATGGTTTATTATGCAGAGACAAACTTAAGCATTTCAGAACCCTATGCATTCCGCCTGAATAATTTAGAGACCATACAACTGGAGTTCGGGTTGGATTTATCGGGAAGTTTAGTCGAGTCTTCTAAACCTGTGGCGGTGTTTTCTGGAAATAGATGCAACATGTTTCCAGAATCGATAAGATGTAGTCATTTGATGGAACAAATGTCCCCAACTACAGAATGGGGCAGTATGTACATTGTACCAGCTGATTTCAATAGCGATGGATCACGTTTGATCATAATGACTGACGAGTCCTCGAGCACGACAGCGAGCATTTTAGTAGGTAATGACCGGCACGACATTATTCTACTTCCTAGAATACCTTTTGAATTTACATTGAGGACGAACGAAACAGCAGTCATCTACATCCCTCAAGCCCGTGCCTCAGTAACCAGCTTTGTAAAAGGGAATAAGAATAATAGTAACTCTGGTTCTCCATACATGGTTAAGATTCCAAAAGTTCCTCAGACCAAAAGTCAATACACCATCCCTATTCCTGAAGGCTACCTTACTAATTACGTAACAATTATGATCGACAAAAGTTCCAAATCTGATCTTCGACTGAATGGACAAGCTATAAAACAAACAACGATTCTCTTTGAAGACGACAATATTCTGAATGATGGGCGGATAGGATCGATTCTAACCGTAGACGTTTTGCCTGGTGTTTTGAATCTAGCTTCAACATCGGGCTCTCCGTTTGGTGTACTTGTCTTTGGCTACCGGTATCTAGATTCCTATGGATTTGCAGGGAATTTCGTATAAGAATTAATAATTTGAAACAACTGAAATTTCTTTATGGACTTTTCAAAATTTACATTTAATTGTTATAAATTTTAGCAAGAGCTTCAACTGAATAAAGTTAAAAGTCTCCAAGCGAACAATTTTTCTTTTCTAGTCCTACCATTAAAATCAACAACTTAAGGTGGTTTAGATATATGCTGACTGATTGATTGTATATTTTTTAACTCCCTATCGAGAATTTTCAATCATATGGAGACGTGGCCGTATGCCGATGAAGGGCTTGAAATTTAGACCTATATTCGGCACACGGGGCATTTGAGCAATTCGGGGTTCTTTATCTTACAAACGCCTACCATGGCAAGAGTCCTATGTTTTTAAGGTCATATCCGAAAGACACGTGACTTTCACCTCTAATGCCGAATGCTTGGCGAATGAACTGTTACTACAACTCTTTACATGTTTTTCATCCTTTATGTCAATGACTACCCAGACTGCTTAAAACAATCAGCATCTCACATGTATGCTGCTGATACAACTCAGGATGTCTCGGATAAGAGTATCAATGTTACTGAAAACAAATTACATAGCGATCTTTTCAACACGATAGATATTTTTTTTTATATTATGACGAAGTACCAACACACTGTCATCGGTAGACAAAAAATCCAAAAAGCTTGTAAGACCTGTCCTTATGTTTACTGCTTTCACCTCTTTGTCATTGTGGTGAATTTTCTTCCCTTCGGTCCTAATTCCAGTTATTTTTCTTAGTTTTTGACGAATTGGAGTCTTTGTAGTACATGTAAATATGTACAGGTTGAAGTGGTTTTCTCCATTGATTGCCGAAATTTGTAGTATATGAGGGGCTATCAAAAAGTTCGTGGACAGCGCCATAAAATAACAACCGCTTTATGTACATCAATGAATTTTAAAATGTTTATTTATCATCATTTTTTCTCTCTATAAAATGAAGCGCAAATCATAACATTGATTTTCAAATAAATTAGTAAAGTTTTTGTAAGCAATGGTATGTACAGGCGGCGCAACCTCGAAAACGACGTTTTTTTCCGACCTAAGTGTAAGTAAGATAAACTATTTTGTTATGATTATTTGACATCCAAAAATCTCGTTATTCAGGTATGTGTTGGGACACTATTGTTTCTTAGAATACGGAATTTTTATCTAATTCTGGAAGTTCTATGAAATTTTAATGTAAATTTTACGTAGAGTATCGAAACGAATATTGCATTGAAAATGACGTCTAAAGGGGGAAGGATTTTTTTTCAACATTCTATAAAATTTTGACCCTGGAAAAACTGGCAAACACGTACGAAATGTTTAAACTGGCTAGGGAGAAATAATATGCATCCAGATTATTGCTCTTAATGCCAAAATAGATTCAGAGAGAAAAAAGAATGCAAAATTAATGTCGATTTGTAGTCAAGATTTGAAAAATCTATCACGTCAAATTTTGATTTTGATCATGTGTTTTAGCTATATTGAACTCCAAAAAACAAAATATGATGGCACAATCAAGCGAGGATCTCTCCAAATTCAATGTATAAAATGTATGAATATTATATGCATTGAAAACTTCTGTTCATGACATTGAAAAGTCATAAGAATAGACGGGTTGAAGTCCTTACTAGGTAATCTTATCAAAATAAGTGTACGAGGTAGAAGAAGCGGGCATTGAATAGATAAAGTCACTAAACAAAGTGCAAGGGTGATCATACATGTATAATTTCGTTTTTCTTTTATAATGATTTGGGAAATAATGAACGTATCAAGCTAAATTTTTCAACATTTCTTCATTGTCCCCCACTTGAAAAGTGGGGGATATTAATTTGGGTGTTTCCGTCCGTCCGTCTTTCTGTCTGTCTGTAACGCTTTCGTTTCCACACAATATCTCGAGAACCCTTTGAGTTTTCGCAATGAAATTTGGCATAACAACTCCCTATGGACTAAAGAAGAACCTTATTGATTTTGAGGTCAAAGGTCAAGGTCATAAATTCGCAAATTCTGTCTTTTATAACACTTTCGTTTCCGTGCGATATCTCGAGAACTCTTTGAGCTTTTGCAATGAAATTTTACATAACTCCCTGTGGCCCAGGAAAGACTCCTATTGATCTTGAGGTCAAAAGGTCAAAGTTCAAGGTTGTAAATTTATACTATACATTCTGTCTATATGAAACACTATCATTTTCGGGCGATATTTCAAGTAGATTTTGAGCTTTTGCAATGTAATTTTATACCAAAACTCCCTAGAACCTCTCTCACCCCTCTCAAAGTGTCCCGCCCCGTTTGATTTATTAGTATTTATTGTATTACATGTCGCTATTTTTAGCACAGGGGCATGAGGAGAGTTATTAGGTATAAAACAGGTTCTCGGTGGACTTTATATTCTTATTGCATCTATTAGAACCGTTTAATAAAGGTTAAATTAGATATCATGCATTATGTAAAATTTTGACAATATCGAACGTGAATGTTATACATGTATGTGCTTTCATCTTTGCATATAATTTTCGCTAGTTTGAAGCGGCTCCGTGGTCTAGTGGTATGTCTCTTGCTTCACATGGGAGAGGGCCCGGGTTCGCATCCAGGGAGATCTCAGTTTTTTTTTTCGAAATACTTTTTTTTTACTAAATGATAGTATTCATGTGAAATGAAAAAAAATATGAGGTCTGGCTTGTACAAACTCAAAATCATCATTACAGTGTGATAAATATTCCCTATAAAAAAAATCTTCTATACACATAATAAGGAATAAGCAATCAAACCTTTATATCCATATTGGCATATTTCATTTGCTTCAGTATACATGTATACATTAAATAATTATACAAATTCAGTCAAGGGGATCCGACCCCCACCCCACCCCCAAACTGCGCATGGTTTACTTTTTCCCTAATTCTCTGAATTAGTTTGTTTTTGTTGTTTTATGTTCCTTATAAATTTTGTAAGCTCAGATAACATAGTACTAATTTTACAGCCTCAGTCCACGAATTTTTTGATAACCCCTCGTATGTGTAGCATATTCTCGGGTTAAAGTACAATAAAATAATAAATTATATTACATCTTCATAAATTTAGGTAAGCTTAACTAGAAGAGACATGGTATAAATATAGGATTTCACATGATTTGAAGTTGGATATGATTTTTAACCAACGAGTTGTGTGGGTTTTTTTTTCCCCGAGCCTTGGCGAGGGGATAACAACACACAACGAGTTGGATAAAAATCATATCTAACTACAAATTATGTAAGATAATTTTTATCCAATGTTTTACATTTTGTTTTATGCACCAAAATCAATGTTTTACACTGTTTTTATGTAGGATTCCACTTTATTTTACTTCATTACGCTAACGCAAAACCCATTGTGACGTCACATTTGTTGGATACGAAAACGATATCACATGAGCTATATCAACGGGATAAAGGTGTAAACATGGGTTAATAAACGTTATACTCCCCTACCAAATACAACATATACAGTATATACATGTACAATACAAAAGAATACCTACAAGTCTAGAGATGCATCACTCCTATTTAAAAATTATCCATTTGACTTGACTTTTTCAAAAGTAGGTCAAATTTCAAAATCAGTTTCATTAGTAAGCCCTGGTTTAAAGTTTTTCAAAAGTTAGTCAAATTCCATGATGAAGGTAAAAAAAATTACCCATAAAAACTCTTGTTGCTGGTATTTTGTCTTTATCATGAGAACTCTTTTTTTCAGCATATCCAGAAGCTTGCGATGTTTCTTCCCTAATTTCGTTTGTAGACGTATTCTGCTGCCTGTAAAATAACAAGGATATTTGAATATTAACAAGTTCATGAACAAGATATACGTTTGTAAAACACTTATTACCCCCTTCCCCAGACAATTGGAATTTTTCTAAGTCGGAGGGACATAACTCTGTAAAAAAATGCCCTGATCTTACTATCCAGAACAAAACTTGACCTAGATATTCTTATGATGAATCTGTATACCAAATTTCATTTGAACATGTGCAACTCCTGCAAAGAAATAAACAGAAACTAGTGGTGGACCGACAGACTGACCGACCGACCAACAGACAGCTGCAAAGCAGTATGCCCTCCCTTGATACTAATATCATACCCCTAACTGGAAAAAGATTCATACCTGTATGTACAATTATCAGTAATGAATTCAGTATATTTAATTTTAACACAGTGACTATAAGTTTCTTGAAATTTGACCGAAAGTATACTGATTTGACCTCAAATGTGATCTTGACACTCAATACTCACTAGGACAAGACTTTGGATTTCCTTGACTCTCCATGTTACGAGTATTTATAAACAAACGTAAATGACAAAAAATTGTGCTACGTATCAAATGATCCTGAAATAAAACCCCATACCATCAAAAATATGTGTTGAAATTTTGCATTATGGCCTTATCTGAATTATCACAATGTGTAAATATATGCCTAGATGAAGGATTGACACGTTTTTGTTTGAAGATTTCAACACAATTTGAGTTAGTATTATAAATTTTATTCAGTTTTAAAGACAGATTTTCCAACAGAAAATCCCTCCTATTCTTACATGAATCAAAAATTCTTCAAACTTTTGCTTCAACGTACATTACAGATTAGTTTCCTTGCAATCTTCGAGCAGTTTATTTACATATATACTGGTGTCTCATTATATCGCGATACTTAAACTTTTTGCATAAAAAGTGTAATTCAAATTTTTTACTTTAACTTTCATCAAATGATAATCATAAACCAAACTATGGCCAAACTTTATAGCGTCAAATTTATATTTCCCAAGCTTGCATCGGTAAATTTGTAGTCTATTTTTAAAACCGGAAGTCTTATTTACCTCCTAAATTGGAGAGTCTCATAATATCGCGGTATGCGAAAACATGGGAAACTTGTGGTTGGCATGGACTTCAATTCTTATTTTTAAATTTACGATGTAATTCTACATAGAAAATTAACAATAATACAAACTAAAACTTTCAAAACATGAACTTTATTATGGATT